CCAGGACCAGGACCAGGACCAGGACCAGGACCAGGACCAGGACCAGGACCAGGACCAGGACCAGGACCAGGACCAGGACCAGGACCAGGACCAGGACCAGGACCAGGACCAGGACCAGGACCAGGACCAGGACCAGGACCAGGACCAGGACCAGGACCAGGACCAGGACCAGGACCAGGACCAGGACCAGGACCAGGACCAGGACCAGGACCAGGACCAGGACCAGGACCAGGACCAGGACCAGGACCAGGACCAGGACCAGGACCAGGACCAGGACCAGGACCAGGACCAGGACCAGGACCAGGACCAGGACCAGGACCAGGACCAGGACCAGGACCAGGACCAGGACCAGGACCAGGACCAGGACCAGGACCAGGACCAGGACCAGGACCAGGACCAGGACCAGGACCAGGACCAGGACCAGGACCAGGACCAGGACCAGGACCAGGACCAGGACCAGGACCAGGACCAGGACCAGGACCAGGACCAGGACCAGGACCAGGACCAGGACCAGGACCAGGACCAGGACCAGGACCAGGACCAGGACCAGGACCAGGACCAGGACCAGGACCAGGACCAGGACCAGGACCAGGACCAGGACCAGGACCAGGACCAGGACCAGGACCAGGACCAGGACCAGGACCAGGACCAGGACCAGGACCAGGACCAGGACCAGGACCAGGACCCTCCTGCCAACCCCTTGCAGCGCCCCCTTACCTCCAGGTCATTCACAGTAGCCCTGCAGCCAGGCAATGTCACTGCCTGGCCTCCAGCAGCCAAACTGCCTTGTTTATATAGGCAGCCTAGGCCTCAAAATGGCTGCCCTAATCAGGCACCTGGAGGCTGCCAGCTCCAGGCCCTTAAAGTGGCAGAGACACCCTGTGCTCTGCCACAGAGTGATATCCAAAACTTTTTAGAATGCTTACTTTTTGTTATCTGCCTTTGGTCTCAGTCCATCTCATAAAACTTAATTTGGACATCACCAAACAAAATATTTTGGTTATGATAGCATTTATTAGAAGTCCCAGAAAAGAAGCTAAGGATAAAGCTACCATTAGTCATACTGAGCTTTTTATGAATATTTCCTACCCAATTAAAAAAAAATTCCAAGAGCGAGATCAGCGAGACCCTGATTCTCAGAGGTATTTAGGTACCCCACTCCCATAGGTTTTAGATTAAATTGTGTCACAGACCTTTTAACATTGTGTTGTCTAATCCTTTCCAAAGCAGAAAACCCAAGATACAACCACAGAGACTGAAAAACCTTCTTGCCCCAGAACAAACTTAATACCCATTGTTAGGGAGAAGTAGCCTACACTGCTACTGCATATTATGTTAACACAGCATTTCAGTAGCTAAGTCTCAACTCAGGAGCTTTGAAAAATAAAAATAGGGGACGATAGAACCATTATTATAGGAAAAAATAATTAAGTAATTAACCTTTTTCCACAGGCTGCCTAATCAGAAAGCAACAAAAGGAACAAAAGGTAAAATGAAAGGGTTTTAGAAAAAGACAAGTTAAGAGCAGGTGGCAAACTAGATATAATTGGGACACAGTGAAGAAATCTTACAAGCTATTCATTTTTAGACCATCTTCAGTACTTAGATATGAGAGAAGTAGAATAGAGGTAACACCTGATTTAGTCTATCATAAGATATAGTGGGAAATTATTAGAACCTCCAGGTTCTGTAGAGTTAAGGAGTCTGATTAGAGAAGCATCAACATAATAGTGACCAGGATTCTTATCCAAAGCCTGTTGCTGCCTGGCCCCATGAACTATGTAATTATGACTAAACGAGTTTGAAAGGGGAAATAAAAGCAGAGAATTTGAACTGGCTAAACTTTGGAAGAAAATCAGTCCCATAAAGTGAAACAGAATACATTTTTTAAAAAGATGATGTGGAGAATTAAATTTATTCAAACGTATAATAACACATGATCAAAAGCAATAAAAAATAATAGTCAATACCTGTGAACAGAGAAATGCAAACAAAAGACACATGGAAAGTGCAGAGGAAGAGAATGCAGTGGATCACAGATGGAAAAGGAAAACAAAAGAAAATCTATAGAAGAGATTTAAAAATGGTTTTCTTCCAGGTAGAATGAATAAAAGGTCTTTTATTGGCAGAAGCACTGTACTTTGCTACAAATCTAAGTGTTCAGAGGAAAGATACTGGAAATTAATATAAACATCACAAGTCATAGGGAAGAAATGGTAAGGGAAACTGGGCTTCTGTTAGGTGGACTGTTGAAGAAGGAGAAAATTCCAGATCTGTGTGTTAGGCAAAGTCATTAAGGTGTAGCACGATGTACTTATAGGCCCTAACAAAGATTGTACCCCACTGGCCAAAGCAAAACACAGGGGACCTTCCCTGAATGACTGTGCTTGGTGATGATCAGGTAGTCGAGCCAAGGAACCTTTCTTGCGGATGGGCAAGGCCTTTGCCCAGGCTGGGCTGTGAAGATCCCCCAAAACAGGCTGGCATAGGGGCAGAGTCAGCTGGGGGACCTTTCCCAAGAGCCGTACTCTGTGTGCACGTGTTTGTGCACTCTATGAACATGTGTTTGAGCATGCTCCAGCCTGCCTTAGGACACAACTATGTTACTTTGGCCTCCTGTCAGTGAAAGGTGGTTGCCTCCCGAATGCCTCCAGGCACAGAAGCGAAGAAGTAAATAAAACAAAAGCGAACCACCATAAATGCCTGATCCTTCTTGTTCTGAGGCTTTAAGAGATTTTTACCTGCTTCAGTTAGATTAGTTGATTCTCAGCCTTTTAAAATTCAAGGCACCCTTCCCTACCTTTTTGAATTTGGCACCCTGAATTGAGAACCACTGTTGTGCTGCCTCAGCTTACCTTCATAATTCTCAACCAGCATGTTACTAACATCAGTGTAAAAGTGCCCCAAGTGCCTCGTACACAACCAGGGCTGCATCATGAGTGCACGCTTCTGCCTGCATTAAGGTTATCTGATAAACCTAAAGCATACAGGAGCAGTCACTCTTGCTGCAGCTCTTCCCGGTCCAGTCCCCCCATGCTCCACCTGGAAACAGGTGCACAGGGCAGTTCCACCTGGCTGCAGCAGTGGTGTCCACACCTGCACTGCAGCACCTCTGGAAGGCTCTTGCAGCACACTTGTTGAAAAGCACTGGGTGAAACACACACTTGACTGGGATGTTTTGGTCAGGGATGATCCTGCCTTGAACAAATAGTTGACCTAGTTGACCTCATGAGTTCCCTTCCATCCCTGCTTTTCTGTGTTGACCCTATGATAGGTTTGGTGTGAATTCTTAAGACTTCACTTGTTATCTGGGCAGTTTACCTGAATCTGGATTTCTACCAGCTACCCCAATAATATCCTAGCTGTGCTGTGAAGCCTAATTCCATGACGGATTCCCAAGAACACTATTTTTAAAAACAGGCTCTTTTTAGTTAGCCAGTTGATGTGACCTGTTGGCAGAGATGGAACAGGACAGCTTCACACTCTGGGCAGTAGCGATGCATGGGGCAATGCCACCTGCCAGATACAGTATCAATTATTTTTGTGCTCCCAAGGCTGCTGCCCAAGTCATGCTCTCTCAGTTTTGTTACTGCCTGCTCCCTTAAGAAAAGTAAATCACACCTGAATTCATTATGAAAAGGTGATGAGGGACTCAAATTATTGTCATCTTCTACATACAACTAACACCACAGTTTCAAATGCCCAGGCATGCTTACAAAAGATCATTCTAACAGAGCATGAGTATCATTTTAATACAACATCTGAATTGTCATGGCACCAGATAGCAGCACGAGGAAGGCATACCTCAGACTTTATTGGAAGGTGGAAAGATATGGTGTGGGGAAAAAAACTGCAGTCACACCTTTATTTATTAAGGGAGGTGAAAAAGTCTTGAAAGTTACACAGTTATTTACTTATCTCTACTACCTCTTAGACACTAGAAAGGCACAGATGATAGCTACAGCCTGAGTGAGTTGAATGAATAAAAGAATTAGCTTGTATGCTAAAGAGCAGCTTAGTACATGCAAATTAAAGATGGAGGGGTGATTGAATAGAGTGGAGGCCAGATGACTTCAATCAAACAAGAGTATTGCAAACTGGGACGTGTCATTCCTGTGCACCACACCTCCATTTGATAGGCTGAAGTTTTATAGAAATTAGCTTTGGTCTAGTTCTCAGGAAGTTGCCAATGAAGCACATACACTATTTCAAGTGTCCCCATCCCAGCAGTCCTGATCTGTTTAAACTCTCTACTTGAATCTAATCACAGAATGATATAGACTTGAAAACAGGAGTTAAAGCAAAAATATCTCATAACCACTTGTTCCTATGGGATAACTTTACTATTATCACTGGTTGTTTCCTGGTCTTGCGCACAATCTTTCAACCTACAGCTATTCTGAACTTTGTTCCCATGCCAGCCACTGTTTTTAGCTCCGTTTAGGAATACTCACTTGCTCATTTGAAAAGCTCCACAGCAGTCCCAGCTACACTTTCAATTTTTAGTTCTTTGTTTTCAGTCTCCACTGTATGTTCCTATCACATACTGTGCTAGTTCTCTAAATCTAAGACCATGGATTAAAGAAAATAGGCTTTGAATGTCATATAGGTGGCATTTATTCATCATCAGTCACTAAAACACCAGGGAGCATAATAAGTGGTTTGCAAATAACAAATAAAACACTGAATGAGGCTATAAAAAGGATCACCAATTATCTGATTCAGGGACTAAATGTTTAAGGCTTATTATAAATCTTAGAATATCATAAGCACGTATGTATCAATATTAATAGTCTGTCGACCAAAAAAAATACAAAAGAATGAATACACCACACGGTGCTGCTTTAAAACAAACAGCACACATTGACATCATGAGAAACATACCATCACATTGTCTAACAGATATGCTACATTCCTCCTTCCCTAAAATATACGCACACATTTTTGGTTGTTCTGATTTTTGTGTACTCCCCAAATTCTGAAATGCCTGTATACACAAGGCAGGTTTTGGATATAAAAATTTGATCTTTTGTACACTCAAAAGATTAGCCTATGAGTCATCCACTCAGGAATATAGGTATGCAAATACAAAGGTCGCTTTTGAAGGAGAACATGAACCATATACATACCTTCCACAAACAAAATGTGTGCAAATGTGTTTACATATGTGTGTGAAATGGATCCCTCCTTGATCACTCAGAACTTTAAATTTTATCATTATGCTGCAGTTTTTACCTATTTGCCCACTTGAAATTTAAGGGTAATTCTTCATTTTAGAGGTCCATGGGGAAAACCCCCCCCATGTAGAATGAATGATGCAGTAACAGAAAAGTCCAAGCTCCTATCAGCATACAAAGCCAAAGTTACCTCTCAAATTTTATATGGCGCTGAAGTATGGGGTTATGCCGCTAGTAATGATGTTAGACATACCTCAGAACAAGTTTCTTAAGGCTCTTTTGGCTCTTTCTCCCTCAACTCCTGCATCTTTTCTGAGATTAGAGGAGGGAATGGATTCTATTTTAACTAATATTGTTATTAGAATGGCAGGATTTGGGTTTAAAATCTTGCCCCTTTTACCATCAAGCCTGCTTAAATGATGCTACATAGAAAATATTACTAATCCCCCTCCTCTCCAATCACCCTGGTTAGCTTATCTTTCCCGCACTTCTGCACTTTCTGGGATGGGATACTATCTCAAAGAGAATGAAAGATCTTTCTTCCCCCATAGAAAAGGTTCGGGTTTTCCAGAGGATAC